CCCCCATAGAGCACGTGTCGAGGGAGCTGGAGAGGGAGGCCGCCATCGCGAAGCAGGCGCGCGAGGCCCGCGAGGAGCGGGAGCTGGCGCGCCCCAAGAAGCAATGACTGAGCCACGGTCGCCGCTGGGAGCCTGGCAGGCGGCGACTGGGCGCGGCGCTGGGCGCACGGGGCCTGGCCACCCCCGTGCAGCTGTACCGGTCATCAGCCCTGGCGGTAGGCGGAGACAGAGGGGCGCTTTCCCTCTCGCTCCCGCCTCCGCTCTGGATGCTCGGCTACCGAGCGCTGGAGCTGGGCGCCGATATCGTCAGGTTTGCCGCGCACTGGGAGAGCTCGCTGGCGGTGGGGATCACGCAACTTTCTTTTTGGACGGCGCCGGCCCAAGGGGGCGCCGCCCTCACCGCCAGCGAGCTCGCGGCCAACAGGGTGATTGACATGGGTGAGCCGCCGAAGGGCCTCTCTTCTTCCGCCGCCTTCAACGAGGTGGTGAAATCCGCCGACTACCACGGTGAGCGCGTGGACGTTGCTGCTATCGATCTTTGCATCCTGTCTCTTCTTCCGGAGGGTCATCGGCCTGTCCCGCTGGCTGAACTCCTGGGGAGTGGGGGCGCGCTGGGGATCGAGTGTTTTTGTAAAGAGCTTGTCTGGCCAAGTGAAGTTGCGGCCGAGATCAAGGCTTCGCTCGACCTGAGGCGGCCCCACATGGGCCGCGGGCTCGCGCAGCGACCACGCCTCTACGCCAACCTCGTGGAGGCTTTGTTCAAGCGCGGGCTCATCGACTTTGGCACAGACGTGCGTTGTGAGTGTAGCGTTTTTGGAGTATGGAAGAAGTCGGGGAAACAGAGGATGGCGATTGACGCCCGCCTCTCGAACGCCCACTTCGTACACTCGAAGGAAACGCCTCTGCCCACGGGGGCCGCCTTCTCGGAGATCGACCTCGAGGGCGAGGCCGAGGCGTGGTTCGCCGCGTTGGACCTCAAGGATGCCTTCTACTACATCGAGCTGCCCACGCAGCTGCGCTGCTACTTCGGCCTGCCGAAGGTGTCCGCGAAGAAGCTGAACCTTCCGAAGGGCGTGCTCGGTTTGGCCGTGGACGGGTACCTCCAGCCGAGGTTCGCCGCGATGCCGATGGGGTGGACGCACACGCTCTACTGGGCGCAGCTCGTCCACCGTCGCATCCTGACGCGGGCCTCCCCGGACTTCGAGGTGGAGGGCTTCCTGACCGACAACAGGGTGCTGCCGTCGGTGGAGAAGGGGGTCATCGGCCTGTACGTCGACAACTTCGTGGCGGTGGGCCACTCTGCCGAGGCCACCAACCTGCCGGTGGCCCGGGCAGCGGGTGCCTTCCGCGCGGCAGGGCTGCAGCCTCACGAGGAGGTCGCCGCTGCCCAGGAGCTGGAGTTGCTCGGCTGGCAGCTGCGTGGAGGCAAGCAGGCTGGCGTTCAGGCCACAGACCACCGCCGCTGGCGCCTGCGGCTGGCGCTGGAGCACGCCCTGACGCGGAACAAGCTCTCGGGTCATGAGCTTCGGCAGCTCGTAGGCCATGTCACTTTTGGTGCGCTGGTGCAGCGGCCGACCCTCTCCTGCATGAATGCCGTCTATCCTTTTTCTCAGAAGTTCCCAACTGAGTTCCGCAAAGTGTGGCCGTCGGTGCGCCGGGAGCTGCGATGGGCACGGGATCTTCTGGCACTGCAGGTCAGGCCCTGGCGCCGCGAATTGTCGGGCTGCGTCGCCTGCACCGACGCCTCCGAGCTAGGGCGAGGGGTGGTCGACGCCCACCTCCCCGCCCCCGTCGTCAGGGAGCACGGTAAGTGGAATGAGAGGTGGAGGTTCAAGAACGGAGGCGAGCTGGTCAGTGCTCGTGTAGCAGCAGGTTTTGCTCGTACAGATGCCTCGCCGCCAGAGCAGGAGAAATGCGAATCACCCCCTCCGTTGTAAGGCGCGGAGACCCCGCCTTCGCCACCTCGTTGCTCACCCTCACCTACGACCCCCGCGGGCTCCAAGCTGGACCTCCCGGAGATCCCCGAGTTCCCCGTGCTACCCACCGAGAACGACATGCAGGGGCCCGAGGACCAGTCAAAGGCTCGTTTTCCGGGAGATAAGCGCGCTCCTGGATCTAAGTTCCCTCTCCTTCCTCATGACGATGGACATCTCCTGGGACTGCCTGGGGACATCGTCGACGCGGGGCGGTGGAGGAGGAAGGGGCGCATCACCGTCTTGGAGGGTAGGGCCCTCGCGCGGGCCCTCAGGCACCGTCTGCGGAACACGAGGTCGTTCCATGCCCGTCTCCTCTTCATCACCGACTCGATGGCGGCCATTTTGGCTTTGTGCAAAGGGCGGAGCAGCTCGCCAGGATTGTGATCGGTCTGCCGACAGTGGGCCGCGCTATGTCTGGCGAGCGGGGTGGCCCCCGCCTTCCGCTGGTGCCCTTCTGAGTGGAACCCAGCGGGCGCACCGCCCCGGCTGGCCCGCGCTGACCGCCGCGACGATGGCGAGGGCGGCCTTCCTGAAAGAGTCGAAGGTGCTGGACAGGAAGTGGTCGCGCGTGGCGCTCTGCCTGGGCGGACGACTGCGGGCCTCAGCCGCGGCTCCGACCAGGAGGGCCTGCACGCGTGGCGGCCCGCCAGCAGAAGCACCGTGTCCGCGCCAGTGCACGAGGACCAGCTGCCTCGAGCTGCGAGCGCCTTGCAGGGCGCCCATCGTGAGGATGGGCCGCGCAGCCGCGCTGCGCCTGGCGGCCCACGGAGCCGAGAGAGGGGCCCACAGAACGGTCCTGGAGATGCACGCCGTGGCGCCCAAATCCAGGCTCCAGTATTCCAAGATGTGGGAGAGCCTCCAGGACTGGGCGGAGCACCACATGCTGCCGCTCAGCCCGCCCAGCGCCCTCGACGCGACGCTGGCCGAGTACCTGGAGTACTTGTACTTCGAGGGCCACGACGCGGGGATGGGGGCGAAGGTGATCGCTGCAGTGGGCTTCTTCGTGCTGGAGGTCTCGCGCCACGGGCCAGCCAGGCTGCCGCGCGCCCGACTGGCGGCGCAGGGGTGGCTAAGGCTGTCTCCACTCCGGGCCAGGCAGCCCATCCCAGCGGAGGTGGTGACCGCCATCGTGGTCGCCATGTGTGCCCGAGGAGAGCGGAGAGCTGCTGCAGGGACGCTGCTGGCGACCACCTGCTACCTGCGACCCGGGGAGCTGGCCGCCGTGAAGCTTGCGGACCTGCTCCCGCCGGGGGCTTTCGCAGGCGAGGGCCACGTCCAATGGGCGCTCCAGCTGAACAGGTTCGAGGAGGGGGGGCCGTCCAAGACAGGGCGCTTCGACGACTCGATCGTGCTCGACGACCCGAGGCACGCCGCGCTGCACAGGTTCCTCGCCCAGCTCAAGCGGACAGCACACCCAGAGGAGCCATTCATCGGGATGGGACAGCTCCACTACGCAAAGCTCTTCGGCGAAATGGTGAACGAGCTGCGCCTGAACATCCTCGGGCCGCCGGCGCCCTACCAGCTGCGGCGCGCCGGCGCGTCGGACGACCGGGCGAGCGGCCAGAGGATGCTGGTGGAAATCAAGAAGAGAGGAAGGTGGCTCTCGGACTCGTCCGTGAGACGGTACGAGAAAGGAGGACGACTTCGAGAGCAGCTGCTTCGCCTCCCCGCGGGCCTACAGGCCCACTGCCGCGCGTGCCGCCTCATGTGCGGCGAGATCCTCCTCGGGCGCTCCAGGCCCTTGCCAGTGCCGCAGCTGTTCCGCTGAGCCCGCGACCCCCAGCTGTCTTTCTCTAGATTTTCTCGGGGGGCGGGCGCCTTTCGCGCGCCCTTGGACGTCGAGGGTGGCTGTGTCTAGAGTGGGATCTCCAGCATGGCGAAAAATTCACACTCACGAAGCGTGCAAATGTCCAGTTGATCGTTGGGTGGATCACCGCAGGATTTTTGTGCGGCCTGCACCTAGGGACTCCCTGCGGCAGCTGGAGTCGGGCTCGTGATCGCCCGAATGGTCCTCCTGCCTGACGTAGCAACGATAATTTCCTTGGGATTTCTCACATGTCCAGTGCGACCCCAAAAGACAGGGAGAATATCCTAGTAGGCAACACGCTCATGAGAGCATCAGCCAACATAATTCGCAGCTGCTTGCACATGCAGCTTCCCGGCTCGCTCGAGAATCTTCGCACCTCACGGCTGTGGATGGCGCCGCCAATAGCGCAGCTCCGTGGCCACCCCCAGGTGCGGGAAACCATTTTGGACTTTTGTGCTTATGGCATGCCATGGCGCAAACGCACGTGCTTTTCGCACTGGTATGTTGACCTCACATGCTGTGGCCGACTGTGTGCGTCCAAGCATGGTATTTGCGAGTTTTCAAAGCATAAGCACGTCGAGTTCGTCGGAAAAGACAGCCGCGGTGTATTCGTCACCTCCACGGCCGAACCGTATCCTCCCAAATTGTATTCCGTTCTTGCTGCCTGCTTTTCCAAAGCTGACGCGTGCAGAATAGTCTCGCGTCTTGACAAGGCGGCCTGCGGCCAGACTCCTGTTCGGTGAATATGGAACTGACATCCGTTCACTTCGCTCTCACGGAGAGGGCGCCAAAGCCCTTCGAGAAGCCTTTGCTGAATGCTGTGTCGCCTGGATGAAAAGGAAGAGCGCCGCTGCATGGTTGTCTGGCATCGCGAGGGGGGATTGTCCCATCTGAGATATGTATCCCTGTCTCCGCGCCGCCGCATCTCCGCAGTTTCTTGGCCCCCACCCACGGGCCACCCTTTTGATTCTGCTCAGCTGCCCACAAGTTAAGATGCTGAGCTATATCTTGAATGCCAACGTTCAAGCTTTCATACTATTATGCATTTTCTTTTCTCTTATATTATCCTGCAGTTTCTGATCTCGGTTTTCCGCCCAGCCCCCAGTGGAGGAGCTGACGTCCGTTCACGTCGCTCTCAGGGAGAGGGCGCCAAAGCCCTCCGAGAAGCCTTTGCTGAATGCTGTGTCGCCTGGATGAAAAGGAAGAGCGCCGCTGCATGGTTGTCTGGCATAGTGAGAGAGGGATCTTCATCATCAGTATCAGCATCATCATCATCCCCCTCCTGCTGCTCCTCCTCCGTACCAATTTTGGTTCAAGACTAAGGTTTTGGGGGCTTCCATTCCCAAGGCATCCAGGGATGCAGCTAGACCGCGGCAGGCAAGGCAGCTCTGCCCAGTATCCCTCCTCCTCGGCCTTCGTTGTGGGATTTGGGTGCCCTCGCCCAGACTTGCCTTCGCTCGCCCACCCAGTCATTTTGTCGGGTCGATGTCGAAGCACGGCGGCGCCGACGGTCCCAAGGTCACCAAGCCCGGGAAAGAGAAGCTCGCAAGGAAGGTCGCCACCCCGCTTCGTGATGCTCGTATGCCGCGTGGACCTCGTGCTTCTGCTGGCGCTTCTGGGGGTGTCGTTCCGCCCTCTCACCCTGTGGCCAACCGCGTGGGCGACGGGGGCAGCGACGTGGATTTGCGGGGGGGGGGGGGGGGGGGGGGGGGGGTACACGGACGAGCGCATCCGCACCAGTTCCACACATGTTGTCTCGGAGCAGCTCAGGGTGCTCAAGACAGAGGTGGATGCGATAGTGGCCAAGACTATATCTGAGTCTGTGGCTTCAGAATCCAAGGCGATTGTGGACTCGTTCAAGCAGAACTTTGGCAAGTGTTTCATGCAGTGCCAGAAGGGCCTCGCGGGCTTGCCGAAGATGTTGGGCAAGCAGATACAGGACGCACTCAACCCGCGCCTGGATGAGCTACGAGGACGACATTCAGGACGAAGGGGCGGGCGCGACGAGGGCGCGTCGGAGGGGGTCAACGCGCGGCGGAAGGGCGGGGCAGCACCGCCGCGCGTTTCGCGCAGATCCGCTCAACTCTGGCTCTGCTCAGCCTTCCCTATCTCGCGCTCCTCAACCACTCCTGGCATCTCGATGCCTCCCACAGACGCGGCCGCCCGCCAGATCGACGCCTGCGTTGCCGAGCCGACGCCCGCTGGGGGCCGCAATCTCCATTTGTAGTAGCCAAGAGAGGGGGGCGCTGCAAAACGCCGCTGCCTCTACCTTCAGTCAATCGCCCAATCGCAGTGCGCTCATTGCTGCACGCGGCAACTACTATCTTGTTGTCAGCGCGATCCCCGTGAGACCCAGCGCGCCTGCTGACGCGCGCAGCGTTTGAGGGCGCTTCCTGGTCAACAGCCACCAATGCAAGCATCTGCGGCCCATGTGACCAGATGCGGGCCAGGCCGCGTTCTGGTCAAATCCAACGCCGCCACTGCGCGTTCACTCACGCGTCTACCACGACAACAGGACGGGGGTCGAGTGCAAGCAGAACGCAGCAGCAGCAGCGATTTGCGCCTTCTACGACCTCGTTCACCACGCTGCGATCGCTGCTTGGACACGGCCGCGTCGGTCCTGCCATCCCGCAGTCCGCGTCCTCGTGCACCGGCAGGGACTTCGCCGACGCGTTCATCACACTCTACGAGTCGCAGCCAACAGGAGCGCCCAGCGGGGCCGCCATGGCGCGCGCGTTTGGCAGGCTACGCCGACGCGTAGCAGCCGCAATTCGCCGTGAATTCCCGAGCCCGCACGTGCAAGAGCGCTGTCGCAACGGCGCGTTGCACTGGGCGCCGCGCGCCCCGCGGACGCTGCCATCCCAAGCGCTGCAGCCGGCGCGCCGCAGGTGTTGCGCGCGCGCCGCCGTCGTGCGACCCGCTCAGCCCTGCGGCTGCAGACGGGTCCGAGTGCGTCTTCTATGCGCGCGCGCTGAAGCAACGCCCTCTTCTCGCCTGGAGCGTCGCCGCAACTTCAATGCCTGCCACCCCTCCCTTCCCCCAGGCGGGCGGCGACAGGGCCGCGCCGTGGCGATTTTAGCGCCCAGTTAGCCGCGCGCATCGCCAATGCGAAGAAGAACGCGCTTCCACTTCTCCCCTGCTACCGGAAAGAAGGGGGACTTGTCAGATCACTGCCACGTCTGCTCAGCGCGACAGCTCGACTGCGCGGGCACAAGGGTCGCGCGCCGAGTCCGCGGGGCGAGCGAGGCAAGGGATCGCCAGGATGACCGCGCCTCGCCCTTTCCAAGAGACTCACGCGCAAATTGTGGAACGTGGGTCTCGTGGCAAAGCGCAGCCGCGAGTCGGCGGGCGGCTCGCATTGTCGCGCGTTGCGGTGATTGTCGCTGGGCAAGCGTGGCTCCATTTCCGCGCTGTGGATGCTCGCCGCGTTCTGGCAAGGGATGTTCTGTGTCGCGACGGAAAGGAGGTTCAACCGCATCAGTCGCCGCGTTCTGAGCTTTGCCGGCCAGTCCCACTCGAGTCTGAACAGCCAGCAAGGCAGTGCTAGTTTCGCGAGGCGGAAATGCGGGCAATTGTTTCTGCTAGGTCAACATTGCAACATTGACAACATATTTTGGACCAACAGCAACTTTGGACAAATTCGTGACCAAGATTTGGGACATTTATGGTGGTCCACAGCTGGGCGTTGGTATTCACGACGCAAAAGTACAGTTGTTTTTTGTGGGGCGCAAAGGTTACCCGCTTTTGCAGTCCGACCGTCCTTCGTCGCCGTGTTATCCAGAAGTCTTCGACGAAGGCACTTCGCGCGCCCTGGCCTGGCGTGCACGCAGGCATCTGGCTTCTAACGGGTCGTTGACTGCACTGCGTGTTTCGCTCGAGCTCTGAGCGCGGTCAGTTGCGCACCCGCGGCGCCGGCAGTGAGGGCGACCAGCTGTGCCCACATCGGGGGTGGCTGGTCCATGGTCCGCGGTTGAAGTTGCTCCTGGCGCGGCGGACGAGGCCCCGCCTGCGTGGCGCCAACTGAAGAGGAGCGCGAGGGATACCGCGAGGTTTCGTTGCGGGTGGACGCTCCAGGAGAAGAAGCCGAGGAGGACGAGGGCGAGGAGGAAGGAGGAGGAGGGGGTGGAGGAGGAAGGGGATGATGATGATGATGATGATGATGATGATGATGATGATGATGATGATGATGATGATGATGATGATGATGATGATGATGATGATGATGATGATGATGATGATGATGATGATGATGATGATGATGATGATGATGATGATGATGATGATGATGATGATGATGATGATGATGATGATGATGATGATGATGATGATGATGATGATGATGATGATGATGATGATGAGATGATGATGATGATGATGAGATGAGGATGAGGAGGATGAGGATGAGATGAGGATGAGGATGAGGATGAGGATGAGGATGAGGATGAGGATGAGGATGAGGAGGAGGAGGAGGAGGAGGAGGAGGAGGAGGAGGAGGAGGAGAAGCGCGAGGGGCAGGAAGAGAGAGAGGGGAGGGGGAGTTTTCTGGATCGACTGTCGCAGGAGGAATATGATTGGGAGGAGGAGGAGGAGGAGGAGGAGGAGGAGGAGGAGGAGGGAATAATTCATGGTCCTCCTTCTCCATCTGAACATCATAACATCGCCAATCATCGCCATCATCAACGTCGTCGCATCATATTGCCGTCCGCAGGGGCTTCAGCGGCGCCCCCCTCGGCACCCACTGCCTCCCGCGGCCGCCGCGGCGGCCCCTCCCCCCCCCCGCGATCGATGCCTTGTGGCGTCGATGGGAGGTGCGGGATCCGCCGTTCGATGCCCCCGGCGATTGGCCGCAGGAGTGGGCCGCGGGCCTCGACCTCCCCAGTTTGCCCGGCCATCGGGGCCAAGAGGTGGGGAACTGCGATCCGCGTGCCCTTCCAGGGCGGCTATGCACGGCAGCTGCGCAGAAGCAGCCGCGCGCCCCCGTGGCGTCGGCGGGCCCAGGGGGGGGGGGCCGCGCCCCTGGTGGGCGCCAGGGCTGCTGGACCTCCCACTTGTGTGCACCGACAACCCCTTGGCGCTTGGTGGTGGCCCGCGAGGCGGGCGCGGGGGGTGCCCGCCGCGCGGGTCGCGCCGCGCTGGATGCAGGGCGCCAGGCCGGGCCAGGGCGACCCGCGGCGCTGGCGCGGCGCGGCGCGGGGGCCACGCGGCGCCCGCGGGGCTCAAAAGAAGAACCGGCCCTGAGGAATCCTACGTCACCTGCGCAAGAGTTTCATCGCAACCTGCGCAGTGGCGCTGCGCGGCGCCCGAGGGCCGTTTCTGCCGCGTGCCAAAGATCATACACCTGCACCCTCCCAGATCCCTCCCCGCCTCGCCCGCCGCCTTGTTCTCCTCCCTCTCGTCCTCCTCTTCCTTCCCCCCTCGCAAGCGCCTCGCCCCCCCTCTCGCCCTTCCTTCTCTCGTCCTCCCCGTCGCCCTCCATCTCTTTTCCTCTCTGACCGGGAAGGGCCCGGGGCGCGGGCGGTGCGCGCCTCTGGGGCGAGCGAGCGGCTCCAGTAGCGCTGGGGGCCGCAGAGGGAGCTCCCTCTCTCCCTCCCTCTCTCTCTCTCTCTCTCTTTTTTGTGTTTTCTTTTTATGTTGTTCTCTCTCTCTCTCTCCCCCTCTCTCCCTCTCTCCCTCTCTCCCTCTCTTTCTCTCTCTAGAGAGAGAGAAAAGGAGAGAGAGAGAGAGGGAGGGAGAGAGGGAGAGAGAGAAACAGCAAAAGAAGCCGCGGTGGCCGACGGCGGCGGCGGCGGCCGGCGACGGCGACGTGGCGCGCAGTCGAGGCCTCAGCAAAGGTGTCCTTGCATCCTTGCGTCTTCGGTTAACCCCGAGTCATTTCCGCTGGCCAGCCCCACGCGGAAAGCGCCAGCATGAGCGCGCAAGAGGATTGCATGTTTATATAGCAATATATTGTGCTTTCTGTTATATGTACATACACACATGTTCTGCTATGGATACGGAGGTACAATACATTACTTATATATTATAGGTATGCACAGAGAGTCATCTATACACATATACGTAGATACGCACACCTATATGCATGTAGCTACATTTATGTACACGTATGTATGTAAATATACACACACACATATATATATATATATATATATGCGCCATCCCTCCCTGCACAGCACCTAAGCGTTTAGCTGGCCTACGATATGGATATCTCCCACGCCCGCCCCCACTGGATCGACGTCGGCCTCCGCGCCACGATCGTCGAGGAGGATGTCTTGACCGCCGCGCTGCTCCGCGCGGAGGTGGGCGCTCATCTACGTCATCACGACCAGCAAGTTCAACTTTGTGCCAAGCATCCACCTGCCGCTGCATCTTCGGCAACGCGCGCGGCTGTTTGAGCTGCGCTTGCCGCCGCGCCGGATCAACTGCGACATCCGTGGGGCGGAGAGGAACATCAGCGTTATCAGCGAGACGATGTACGTCGCCGCCATGGCGATGAACCAGAGTTTCCAGCAGAGTTCAGCACGCGTGCCAAATGGATGCCCAGTGGCGCCGCCGCAGGAGCAACCAATATATGCTCCGCAATGTATTCACTTCTGCCCCTGTGCAATTCTGCGTTCGCAACGTCGCGTGCGTCTCGTGCCCCGCGCGCAGCCCGCGAGAAGCTGGACCCCGGAAACGCCTGGCGCCGCGAGCAGGCGCCCCTCGGATCTCGCCGCCGCGGCGGAGAAGGCCCGGGAGGACCTGGCGGCCCCGCGCAGGGCCGAGACGATCGCGAAGCAGATCCACGAGGCGCCGGGGCAGCTGCCCCCCGATGCCTCTTCGCCGACGCGAGCTCCGTCTGGGGGGGGCACCGCGAGCGAGCGCATCCGCGGACCGCGAAGCGGCGGCGTTCGTGGCCGGCCAGACCTGCTGCGCGGAAGGCCATCGCGGACGCCGCGGAGATCCTGGAGGACATCATCGCCTCCCCGGCCGCGTCGCAGAGCTGCAGCTCAGCTCCATGCAGCTCTCAAGCTGCCGCTCGCAGGCGCGGACGTCCGTGGGCCCGGAGAGACTGGGGGCCAGCTCCGTGGCGCAGCAGTTCGCCAGGGGGCGCCATCCCTCCCAGCTTCGCGCCACCTGCGTCGCACGCGCACGCGGCGATGTGCCGCGGCGCTGCTGCCGACGAGGACTCTTGCGTGTAAATCGGGCATGTCCCTCTACAGGAGGAATATTCACGAATAGTTTAAGAAATAGTATTGCAACGATGTTTCGTGCTGGTTTGGCTATTCTAGAATATGTTCTGCTTTTCTCTATATTCTAAAATCCGCCCGCGGGAGGAAATGCCCGACCCGACCTCACGTGGAGGAGGGGACCTCATCACCGACGTCGTCGCGAAGCTGGGCTCGGAGATCTCCGAGTCCGCCGAGGCCGGGTCCGGCGCGCCAGCGCAGCTCCAGTGCGCGGCCGCGCCCGGCTTCGGAGGTCATGCTACATTCACTCCTCACTCGTCGCTCCCGCGGCAGCCGCTGGAGTGGGCACTGACTCGCCGACAGCGGTCTGGCGGTGGAGCCGCCCGCCGAGAGCGGCGAAAAGGGGCGCGGCGCCGCGTTGCCCCGCGCGCGCCTGCACACAGTCTACGCTACATCACGACGGCGCCCTCGCCTGGGCGGTTGCGCGCGAGCGCGTCGGTGCGCGCGGCAGCGCCTGCCCGCGGGCACCGCCGGCGAAGTCACGCCCAGAGTCGCTCCGCGCGTGACCCACGCTCACCGTCATCAGCCCGACAACGCCAAACAGAAGGACGCGGCCGTTGTGGTTGCACGCGACTCCACCTTTTGGGCGTGACAGCTGGCCAAACCAGCTCCACCGCGCGGCTGCCAGCAGCGCGGGCCCCGCCGCGCCTGCGACGGATCGACTGGAAGTGCTCGTGCCCCCACAGGGCACAGCATCTCCTCCTGTCCTCCTGAACGCGCTGTGCAGCATGAGCGCGCGTGCGTCTTGACCGCAACCGCCACGTGCCGATTGGCTTGAGCATGTCTGAGCCCGATGTGCCGTCTACGGGGCGCTCGGCGACTGAGCTACGACGAGCACTGCGAGGGTGGCCTGGCCACGCGCTCGCCGCGGACCGCCATCGAGAACCGTTCCCTACCATCAGTGGCTGGCCAGCCTCCCCGTCAATTGCAAGGGCCTTCCTGTCGCGCAGTAGTTTGGCGCCACGTGGGCAAGAAACATGAGCGTCTTCGTCGCGACGCTCTGGCGGCCACAGCGCGCCAGGCATTCGACATGTGCTACACGTGCTAGTGCCCGGCTTTGGCACCTCAGCACCGCCGGCACTACAAGGCGCCGGCCCTGCAGTACGCCACCACAGAGGTCAGTGCTGCATTACGGGCCACGCTTCCTTACAGACCAGCCAGCATGCATCGCGGTGGCCTGGCACGTTGGCCACGCTGTGCTTCCGACGCTGGGACAGCTACGAACAGCCGAGGCAGGCACCTGCGACACTGCGCTGCTGTTAGCCGCATCCAGGCAGCATGCGCCGCGTCGGCATCGCCCGGCAGTCAGCAGGCCAACACACGGACCAGTCAACAGAGGTGACTGGTAAGCGCTAGCATCCAGAGACACACTGCCGCAAACTGCTGGACGAGCTGCGTTTGTGCGCATACGAAACAATACGCGCGGGTGCCCCTCGCACCGGCCAGCTGCGCCAGCTGGCACCTACTCGCAAAAGAGTGCCGAAATCTAGC